AAACATTAGACCACTGAAAAGTCAACCGAAACAGCAAAATCGAACAAGTGTACGAAAATCTGTAACTACTGGAAAAAAATCAGACACCAAAACAGTTGCTAAGAAAGATGATAGAAAAGCACCAAGAAAAGATGATATAAATAAAGTTAGTCTTATGTTTATTTTATGATTAATCACAACTCCATATATATTATAATAGTATTGTGAGGCATAAATAATTTTTGCAGGAGAAATCTGAAACTGAAAAGGTAGATATAGAAGTAGAAGAACGCAAATTTGAGCCATCTGGAAATGATAGAGATTTAGTAGATTTGTTAGGTAAACTATGTACTTGTATATTATTAATTTTTAAATAAAATAAAGCCTTATATGCTTATATAAATGTTTCAGAAAGAGATATTGTTCAAAAAAATCCAAACATTCATTGGGATGACATAGCTGACCTACATGAAGCGAAACGATTATTAGAAGAAGCTGTTGTTCTTCCAATGTGGATGCCAGATTTCTTCAAAGTATGTAAAATACATAATGTATATTCAAAATATATTGCACATAATGAAATATGTATTATACTGCAATATATGTATTGCATTGTCAAACTGTATCATTGTAACGATACTGTAAAGTGAATGAAAGAGCACACCTGCTGATTAATATTGTATTTATTGTTAAATGATAAATTACTACACTAAATTATCTTTCTAATGCAAATGAATTTAAAGATGGTCTTAATCCGATTATTTTGATTTTGATAATAATTCACTCTTGTCACTGCAACGTTTTCATATAGGTATTTGCAAATCTTAAGGAAGTAATTTCTGATATTTGTTTTTATACTTTCTCTTATTCTATATCATTTTTGTACTAGAAGCGCCGATTTGAGTATCGAAAATAGGTGGAATAAACGGTCCGTTACTTTAGTCGATTTCATAGATAAAAGATAGAAGGTTACTGTATTTTCAGGGAATTCGACGTCCTTGGAAAGGAGTACTTATGGTTGGCCCACCAGGTACTGGAAAAACAATGTTAGCAAAAGCAGTAGCCACTGAATGTGGAACAACATTTTTTAATGTCTCATCTTCTACACTAACTTCAAAATATAGGGGAGAATCAGAAAAACTTGTTCGCCTTCTTTTTGAAATGGTAATTGATAGTAAAATATTACATTATTTTGCTAAAAAAAATATTTATTTACACAAATATTTGTTAATTACTTTTTAACTGTTATATACCTGTATATTCGTATTTGTATAGGCCAGATTTTATGCACCTAGCACAATCTTCATTGACGAAATTGATTCTCTATGCTCTAGAAGAGGGTCTGAATCTGAACACGAAGCTTCACGACGAGTAAAATCTGAACTTCTGGTTCAAATGGATGGTATAAGCTCAAATAGGTAAATTAACCATAAATATTAAAAAATAATGTTAAATTATACTAATTGATTACAAAGTAAAATATATTTTCTAGCGAAGATCCAAGTAAAGTTGTCATGGTATTAGCAGCAACAAACTTTCCATGGGACATTGATGAAGCTCTTCGAAGACGGTTGGAGAAACGTATTTACATTCCATTACCAAATCGTAAGTTTTATTGTAATTCAATACAAATGTATGTATCATCTAATTTATATAAACTTATTTTTTAAACAAAAAACTGTTATATAGATGAAGGTAGAGAAGCATTATTGAAAATTAATTTACGTGAAGTAAAAGTAGATTCATCTGTAAACTTGGCAGATATTGCAAGAAAATTAGAAGGTTATTCTGGTGCTGATATTACAAATGTTTGCAGGTAAATGAAACTATAGTAATGTCTCTCGAAACGCAATTCGTAGCGCTTGACACAATGCAACTCTGCTATCTGCACCATTTCGTGGAATCTGCTCGGACGAGCAAGCCGCCGAAGCTACCAACACAAGATATTCAGATCAACAAACGATGAGTCATCACTCTGATGTATGAAAAATGAAATTGTTGTAATTTTTGTTTTATTGTAATGTAGAAATTTTTAATGAATTTGCGAGGTCTTTCTAATTAAAGTTAGTCCAAACAGTATAAATCGGACTAGTTTTAGGATTACTTATTTTTACAATTATTGATAGCTAAATAGGAATGTGCTCTATTGCGACTCAAAGTTACGTACCTAATAGATATCATAGATTTAATTCTTTAGAAAAGGTTTGAGGAAGTTTGGGAATGGCAAATAGTCTGACGTTGCGTTACCTACATTGACGGATGATACAGCTTCTTAAAGTGCAACGTTTCGATCCCCAAACTGTTGCATTTCGGGAGACATTATTATACTTTCAAATCTGCAAGTAAAATACTTTCTGTAAGAATGGTAGCACTATCCATTTCCCACATAAATCCATTATTTTTTTTGCAATCTGCATAATATTTTCAAATTCGATGCCAAACAGTACCATGATAGAGTGCATTCCTATTTAATTACCAACAATCCTAAAAATAGTCCGATTTATACCGTGTTTGGACTCGATTTTAGTCAGAAAGATATCGCAAATTCATTAACAATCCTTACATTGCAATAAAATAGAAATTACACTAATTTCATTTATAGGTCAAAGCAATGAGCCATCGTTTGGTGGTGAACAATCAGGTAGCTAAGTAAAATACTCCCCTTCATTCACTCTTATTATTTGTCTGTCCCTCTTGACTGTGGGCATAAATATCGATTTCAACACAACCCGAGCTCAAATGATTGCAGGTAAGAAAACAAGCCAAAGCTCCACAAAATGAAACACTTTATCCCCGAACGAGTGGCGTTTTCTGAGACATTACTGTAAGCAACATAGAGTGGTGTGAACAAATATAGATTCCAGATAATTTCCCTTAAGTTCTTTTAAAGTAATTACATTGTATAATTCTTACCATGAAAAAACTTGAGAAAAATACTGAAGTATTTATCGTGAAATTCTTTAATATGAAATCCTCGTATTTTAGTTCAAAATATAGACTACATTATTACAAATTGTGAAAGAGACATAAATATCTTACATGTTTAAGGAAATCGCCATAACAAATATCACATGGAGCATCATTTAAATTTTGCGGAGAACCTTATTTTACAATCAGAAACATAGAGTCACGTCATATTCAGTGACGAGCAAAAATCAAACAGACTTAATAACTTTAATTATTATTGGTATTGGTGATTTGAAAAAAGAAAGAAAAATTTTATCTAAACATCCTATGGAAGGTGCAGAGTCATGGGCAGTAATTAAGATAAGTTGAAAATGAAAAATTGCACTTACAAATACATAAGACGAAAATATCAGTTTCTCAGCACTGCTATAATCCAATACATAAGCCTCGATTTCAATTCTATTGAGAATCTTTGATCGATATTAACATGAAAAGTTTAAGACAAAGAAAAGTCAAAAATTCATACATATAGTAAATAAAAATGTAGAATTTAAAAAATGTTAGAATGTTTTTCAAATTTTCTTTGAATCCATAATTATTCGCACCATTTTAGCTTTTTATGCATAGAAAATGTTTGAAAATGTATAATTTTTTACGTGGTTACATATAGAGATGCGTCCATGATGTCCATGCGGAAAAAAATCGCAGGTTTAAAACCTGACCAAATTAGACAACTACCAAAAGAAGAATTAGATTTACCTGTATCAGCTGCAGATTTTGATGAAGCTGTTGAAAGATGTAATAAAAGTGTTTCTCAAGAAGATTTGGAAAAATATGAAAAGTGGATGAGTGAATTTGGTTCATCTTGATACCATTGTGCTGAGAAAACATAACTATGTAACAAGTTATTTATTTAGATTCAGATCCTTTAATGTTTCTATTTATCATTATTAGTAGACAAAAAATAAAAATCACTGCTGAAAATAAATTTAGCAGTAGTGCATTTAATATTTTCTTAAAGTGACGTTCTTCGTTACATTATTATAAATAACTGTTTTTCCTATTTTGATATTTTAAAGAATAGTAAAAATTTGGACATTTTCATAATGCATGTTTAAAACTGAGTAACTCACGTGTTATTGTAAAATGCATTTTATTAATTATTATTCATTTATTCTACTTAGTATAAAACTGAAATAGAATGAATGGTACCAAATATTTTCAAAGCCCATAACTGTTGTTTCAAATAATTAATAATTAGACTGTGAATGTTTATGCAAATGTATATTTTTACAGAAGAAAGATAGATATCGAACTTGGACCTAAGTTTATTACGCCATTCATATATACCGAAAATATATTTTTTTTTTATTTTGTATATTTTGCAGAATGTATCATATTCCGTGCATATGTAACAGCATATTTATGTATCTTGGAAAATACGTTTTATCCATCATCGATCTCCTACACGATCGTACATCCATAACTTATGGCAGTTCTAGAAATACAAATTTTTAATGCGATATCAAAAATTGATGACATGTTGAAAGGTGTGGACTGTTAAAAGGTCAAAGTCTTTGAGGCACACTACTGGCACATATTGAAATTATGCCCCAATTACGTCCTGCGATATAGAACGATGTTTTTTAGCATATAAATTAATATTAACTGATAAGCGTCATCAATTTACAGTTGGTAACCTTGAAAAAACTATTATATTTACTAAAAAGAACAATATAAATCCCTATTTCATGCATATCTTGCATACTCTGACATCTTTTACTTGTACAAACATTCGCAATCTATTAATATCTAAATTAAAAGTATATCACAAGGAAAGACTGTATAAAGTTTATAAAGATGAGAGTATTGATAAAATTAACTTTACACATTAACTCTACAACAGAATACAAAATAAATTGCTGTTGTTAATATGTGCAATGGCACTTGAATATTTTATACAAATTTAATCTGTATTGGAAGTAATATTTTATTGCATATAAAAGTACAAATTATGACTTTTTTTATTGTACATTTTTTGGAGCACAACCTTCTCTTCTAACTCGTTTAGTTTCTTCATCAATATTCTTTGAATCTTTTGGTGCTTTGTAATTTGCTACATGATCAACGCGTATTGTTCTTCCTAATATCTGAAATACCCATTTATTATAATTAATTTCTATAATTTTTATTTCATTTTTCAAATTTTAAAAAAAATTTAATATTAAATTATTTAACGATATTCATACCTTAATTCCATTAAAATTATCAACAGCTAATATTGTACTTCGTTGATCTTCGTAACACAAAAAACCATATCCTTTTTGTTTTCCTGTATCTTTATCTCTAATTAAATTTATGTTTACTACTTCTCCGTATCTACAATAATAAACAATTAGTATTCGTAACATACAGTTTATAAGGTTATCTATTTTAAACTTACTGAGAAAATATGGTTATAATGTCACCTTCTGTTAAATCATATGGTAAACCACCAACAAAAATCCAGGCACTGTCTTTGTATTGATCATGCCAAGATGTTTTTCTGTCACTTAATAATTCCTGTTCTCCAAGTCTCTTTATATTTTTTACATTTCTGAAAATATGCAATTGCTTAACTAAATAATTGCAACTTGTTTAACTAAATAATTATACTTATATCTTACAAATAAAATGTAGTAAAGCACTTACGTTAAAGGATTCATTTTAGGCGTATCAAGTAAATATACTAGACGTTGTAAAAAATTGTTATTGATTTTTACGATACACAATATAGATATATTTGTAATATGTAACAAATTTAATTTACTAGCACATTTGATATTTACTTTTAAGAAAATGTAAACATTAAAAATTATTAATGACTTATATATGAATGGTATATTAATATAAAAAAAAGTGAAAATAAATGTATTGAACATGAATAGCTACTTCAAAATATAACCTTAGAAATGGTTGATACTACCAAGAATAGTTGATGCCAATACATATATAATTTATTAAGAAAAAGATAGTAGAAGTGTTATTATTTTGATAAAAAGTATTGAACTAACATAATTAGTCGAAAATCACAATTATTTAATAGGTTAAGTTATAATACTTTTTGTTTTTGGTTACGAAAAAATTTGTCAGTATCATATCAAAAGATATTATAAACATTTAATGAAGAACATGCATTGGATAAATGCAAGATATTTTAAATAAGTATAAATTGTTTCATATAAAATAAAGAAGGAAAACATGGTATTACCAACAAGAATGTCACATAAAGTAAATAGAATCTCTTATCACTATCATAATGTTTTTGTAATATGTATATTAATGTTTACTTTGTTCATTATTTTAATTGCTGCATACCATATTTTAAAATTTGGGAGTACACAAAAACGTTCTGTATATAATGCTATTATTCTTAATGATTTACATTCATTACCTATACAAATAATAGATGCAGATTTTCCAATGGCCGATACTACAAATGTTTCTTGTACATACTTTAGTTGTTTTAATGTTTATCGTTGTGGCAGTCAAGGTAATAAGCTTTTAGTATATGTTTATCCACCAAAAATTTATGTAGATTCATTAGAAAGGCCCATAGCAAGCCAAATAACAAAAGAGTTTTATCAAATTTTAACTACTATTATTTCAAGTAAATTTTATACACCTAATCCATATGAAGCATGCATTTTTATTCCTTCAATTGATACATTAAATCAAAATAGAATAAAATTGCAAGAAGTTTCACAAGCGTTAAAAGCATTACCATTGTAAGTTTCATTTTGTTCCACACATATTTACATGCAAACAAATAATATATAATACTTTTATTTTCTTACTTAAATTTCAGCTGGAATAATGGAGAAAATCATCTTATATTTAACATGATACCTGGAACTGTGCCTGACTACAATACTGTCATTGATGTACCTGTTGGAAAAGCAATGATTGCAGGTGCAGGAATGTCATCATTAACATATAGATTTGGTTTTGACATCAGTTTACCAGTGTATAGTCCCCTTGTAAACAGTCTTAAGTCACATTTTAATAATACAAGGTAATAAGGTATTTATAACTGCTTCAATTTATTTACAATAATAATTAATGAAATGTTCCAGACCATGGTTAGTTATTTCCTCTCAAATGAATATTAATTCTGCTTTTGAACAAGATTTATTAGAAGTTAAATCTATGTCGTCAAAGGATATTTTAATATTAGGTACATGTCTACATTATACTTCTATGAATAGTACAATTCGATGTGCAGGGGAAGATGTATATAAATATCCTAATGTGCTTGAAGTATGCAAAATCATAATAACTTTTGTAATCAAAACAAGAAAATTTATTAAACTTTTATTGAATTAAAATTATTATTGTTAGACAGCAACATTTTGTTTAGTAATTCGAGGTGCAAGACTTGGTCAGAGTACACTTCTAGAATGTATGGCAGCAGGTTGTATACCTGTAATAATAACTGATTCTCTCACAATGCCATTTTATGATATAATTGATTGGTCTAGGTAGGATTCAAGTATGTTATTATTAGTATTTTTTCATGTAAAAGGTATTATAACAAATATTTTTTTCACTTAGGGCTGCTATATTTGTACGTGAAGTAAATATCTTATCAGTAGTATCAGTCTTAAAAAAAGTATCGCAGCAACGAATTACAGAGCTCCAAGAACAGGGTGCATGGCTTTATGAAAAATATTTTAAATCTATGGAAAAAATAACAGAAACCACTTTAGAAATACTTGCAGATCGTGTATTCCCACACTTAGCTAGAGATTATACATTTTGGAACATACCACCGCACAAGGAAAGTATAGATAATACTAATTAATAAAGTTTTACATAAATCATATTAAATTATTAATAAAGTTTAAATTAATTGTATTTGTATTATACATTATATATTATTCACAGGGTATTACATCTCCGCTTTTTTTACCTGTTACTGTGCCAAAAACTCGAGGATTTACTGCAGTAATTTTAACATATGATAGATTGGAATTGCTGTTTCTTTTGATTAATAAACTTGTGAAGGTACCAAGTTTATCTAAAGTTCTAGTTATATGGAACAATCAACATAAAGATCCTCCACACTGTAAATTTTAATTTTTAACACTAATACTTTGCATTACTAATAACTTTAATTAAATTAATACTATTTTAAAGACTTGATTATGTATTGTAGCATCTAGATGGCCAAAATTAAACAAGCCATTAAAAGTTATACAAACAAAAGAAAATAAATTATCAAACAGATTTTACCCTTATGATGAAATTGAAACAGAAGCAGTCCTATCAATAGATGATGATATTATTATGCTAACTGCTGATGAAGTAGAATTTGCTTATGAGGTTTGTCCATTATAATTTCAACAATACTTTAAAGAAATAGTAAAGAAATAAAAAAGTAAAAGTAATAATAAGTGTAAGATATCACTTTTAGGTATGGAGAGAATTTCCAGATCGAATAGTTGGTTTTCCATCTAGAATTCACATGTGGGACAATGGAACAAGTTGTTGGAAATATGAAAGTGAATGGACTAATAGTATTTCTATGGTTTTAACTGGAGCTGCATTTCATCACAAAGTAATAACGTATCTCCTTATTAAAACAATTTAGATTCCAACAAATTTGTTTTCTAACGTTAGAGATACTATTTCTTATGTTTAGAATTCATAATTCATAATAATTTTCAACATAAATTTTGTACTTCTTTATGTTCTCAAATA